CTCATATGTGGGATCCGAACCGGGGTCCTCTGGCATCCCAAGTCAGTTCTTAACCAACGCACCACTCGGCCGGCCCACAACCTCGGCTTTTAAATGAGGTAAGTGAACTATCATCTATACTGATTTACATTCAGTTTCTCCTTCTACACTTCACACTAGATTAAACCACACTAGTCTCCTCAGAATTCACTAGCTGAAAGGCATTGAGGAACTCAAGCTATAAAATCCAATGAACTCCTTTCAAGTCTGCGCATGAGACTTTTCATACCTTTCTACCTTCTCAGGGCCATCGTACTGTTGAAAATCTTCAAATTTCATTGAACACACATCCTATTCTCTGGGGCCAGCCGAGTGGCTCAGTTGGTTAACAGCTCGCTCAATAGTGCGAGCTCTGAGCAACAGTGATTCGAGTCCAGCCCAAGCTGAGCTGCCAACAGGTGGCAGGATGGCTCAGTTAAAAAAAACAAAAAACTCTTCTCCCTTTAATTTTCCTGACAACAGTCTCTCCTGGTTTTATTTAACACACACACACACACAAACACACACACACCCTTTACATACTTTCATTCATTCACCATGCACTCATTTAACAAATACTGAGTACTCACTAAGTGTCAGACATACAGCTAGCTAAATACTAAGGATACAGTGGTAAACAAGACAGAAAGGTTCTTTAAACAAACTGAGCACATCAAACATATTATAATTGTGATAAGTGCCTCAGAGAAGCACAAGGCTATAAAAGTACTAAACAAAGGAGCTAAGTAAGCCTGAGAAGGATCAAAAGAAGGCTGTTCCACTAGAACTTCAGGTAAGGCCAAAGGAAATAGTTAGCCAGACTATGGGATAGGGACAAAGATGAACAGCATATGCAAAATCTCTGTGGCAAAGAGGGGAAGAGAGAGCTGGCCAACACAATAAGAGAGTACTAAATAATAAGGTAGGAAAAAAAGACTGGGATATCATTGAAGGTGAAGGCTCACCGTGGCCAAAAATATGACAATCTGAGCATCAAAAAGGATAATGAATGCAACCAACTCAAACACATTCAATTTATTAAATTTATTAAAGCTCATGCATTCAAAATGGTAATTTTTAAAAGATCAAAGTTTTTTAAATCTGGGAAAACTGGACAGTCACATGCAAAAGATTGAAACTAGACTAGCTTATACCATCCACAAAAATTAATTCAAAATGGATTAAAGACTTGAATGTAAGACCTGAAACAATAAAAATACATAGAAGAAAACACAGGCACTAAACTTACGGACCTTGGCCTCAGGGTTTTTGTGAACTGGACCCCAAACAAAGGCAAAAGAAGTAAAAGCAAAAATGAATGAATGGGACTACA